TGTATATATTGTAATGAAAGAAAATAAAAATACATATGCAGGTAAGCTGTGATTAGAGTGAAATTTATAGCTTTAGATTCTTCTATTAAAAAGGAAGAAAGGTCTAAATAACTTCAGAAACTAGAAAACAAAGGAAATTAAATTCAAGTAAGTAAAGAGGAGGAAATAAAGCTAGAAGTATAACAAAACAAAACAAAAAAATCAATAGGGAATACCAGTGAGGGCAAAACTGCTACTTTGAAAATATCAATAAAATTGATAAACCTCAGGTAGAATTATCAAGAGAAAAATTTAAAAGGACATAAATTACCAAAATCAGTAATGAACGAGGGGCTATCATTCATATCCTACAGACAATTAAAGATAATGAAGGAAATATGAAGTTTATGCCAATAAATATGACTAAGAACTTGACACAATTTCTTGAAAAAAATGCTAAAACAGACTCAAAAATTTATAGTTAAAAACTTGAGGCAAAATAACTTCACTGAATTTTATCAAACATTTAAAGAAGAAATAATATCTTACACAGATTCTTTTTTTAAAAAAAGATTTATCTATTTTAGAGAGAGAGCATGTGTGTGTGTGGTGGGAGGGGCAGAGGAGCAGACTCTCCACTGAGCACAGAGCCCAACCAGGGGCTCAGTTTCACAACCCTGAGATCATGACCTGAGCCAAAATCAAGAGTCAGATGCTCAACTGACTGAGCCACCCAGGCACCCCATACACAGATTCTTTATGAAAATGAAGGAGTGAACACTTCCCAACTACCTTCATGAGGCCCCCATTACTCTAATAACAGAACCAGAAAAAAACTGTATGCCAATATTCCTTATAAATATTGACAGAAAAACCCTTCACTAGTAACACAAAGATCCAGGAAAAAGGAAAAAAATATTAATATATCACAATAGATTCTTCAGATTTTATCTGAGGAATACAAAGTTTAACCCTCAAAAAATCAATCATTGAAACACACCATATTGACAAGATGAAGAAGAAAACCTATATAATCATCTCAGTATATGCAGGAAGAGCATTGAACAAAATTCAACACTCATAAAAACTCTCAGCAAACTGGGAATAGATGAACTTTTTCAATCAGAGTACATCTGCAAAAATCAAGCTAACATCACACTTAGTGGTAAAAGAATGAATGCATTCCCCCTGGGACTGGAAGAAGGCAAGTATGTTTACTCTCTCGTCTGCATTGTACTGGAGGTGTTAGGCAAGGCAATGAGGCAAGAAAACAGAAATAAGAGTCATCATATCGGAAAGCAAGAAATAAAACAGCGTCTACTCATAGATGACATTATGTAGAAAAATCCTAAGCAACTAAAAAAAAAAAGCTACTAGACCTACTAAGGGAATTTACAATATTACGGGATGGATGGCCAAAATACAAAAATTTACTATTTCTATATACTAGCAACAATTAAAAAGTAAAATTATTAAAAATATCCCTTAAAATAGCATAGAAATAAAATACTTAGGGAGACATTTAACAAGATATTTATAAGTATTGTACACTAAAAACTACATAATAGTGTTGAAATTAAAGACGACCAAAAAAATGGTCAAAGACCTAACATGAAAGCTAAAACTATAAAAGTTCCAGTTTTGAAAATTTAGACTATCTTAAACTTGGAAAAGGCAAAGATTTGTTAGATACAATGCAAAATAACCCAGTTATAAGAGAAAAATTGGTAAGTTGATCTTCATCAAAATTAAAAACTTATCTTTTAAAGATATTTTAAGGAGGGGCGCCTGGGTGGCTCAGTTGGTTAAGCGTCTGCCTTCGGCTCAGGTCAAGATCCCAGGGTCCTGGGATGGAGACTCCATATGGGCTCCCTGCTCAGCGGGGAGTCTGCTTCTCCCTCTCCCTGTGACCCTCTCCCTCTCTGCTTTGTGTACACACATTCTCTCTCTCTCCCAAATAAATAAATAAATAAAATCTTTTAAAAATAAGTTAAAAAAGATACTTTAAGGAAATGAAAAGGCAAGTCACAGAGTGGGAGAAAATATTTGCATTTCATATATCTGACAAAGCACTTGTATCAAGAATTTATGAAGCCCTCTTATAATTCATTAATTAAAAAAACTAAAACACAGGCAAAAGATTTGTACAAACACTTCATAAAGGAAGATGCATGAATGACCAATAAGCATATGAAAGGAGGCTCAACATCGTTAGTCATGAGGAAACGCAAATCAAAACCACAGTAAAATAGCACAACAGTCTCCCTAAAGAGCTGAAATTGGAAAGACTATGTCAAGATACATGCAAGTCAGGATTCCGGCAGTAGTCTTTTTCACTTTATGGCTAGATATACTCAAAAGCTAGATTTGTAAAAAACATAAACGTAAAAGTTTGAAAGACTGGTAATTCTAAGTGTTGGTGAAAATATGGAGCAGCTGGTTCTCACTTAGGAAAACCACTTGACAGTTTCTTAGGAAGTTAAATATACACTTAATCATACGTCACAGCACTGCCATTCCTACATATTTACGTAAGAGAAATAAAGACATGCTCACAGTGAAACTTGTACATGAATGTTCACAGCAGCTTTATTCCTAATACAAAACGCTATGCAAAAAGCAAAAGGAACAAATTACTGATTGATGCAACAACGCTGATGTATCTCAGAACCCTTATGCTGAGTGAAACGAGCCAGATGTAAGAGGATGTACTGTAGGACTCCATTTATATTGTTTTACAAAAGAAATGACATCCATAGTGATAACGGTAATCTGGGCTTGGATTGACTTGCAAATGGGCAAGCCACTGCTAATCATTTAAAGTCTCCTTTTAATATGAAACTATTTACTACCATCCTTGCCCTAGAACAATTCAAAACCACTTTCTGAACCACTGTCAGGGGCTTTATCATTCAAGCCCACCCAAGAAAACAGAAACCACATCAGGTATTTTAACAGTAAATTTAATATAGAGTGTTAGATTTGTATTAGAGGACTGAAAAAGAAAAAGTCAAAACAGTAAGGTAACACAGAGATTAAAAACAAAAAACCCCACAACTTTAGGAAGGAGCTACCATGCCTACACAAAGGAAAGAATTTGAGGTTATCAAAACCTAGAAGCTTGGAGGAAGGGCACTGTGGAGCTGGGACCTAGATTGCTGCCTGCCGGCTGGTGCTGGCACTACAGAAGCTTGGGGGAGGGCCCCCCAGAGATGGGACTCAGACCTTTTGAGGAAGGGGCACCGGACAGCTGGGATTGATATCTCTGAGGGAAGGTGATGGTTGTGGAAGTTGAGGATAAAACAAAAATCATTGTTAGCACAATTATATTAAAAGATAGGCATTAAACCAAAAAACTAATATACACCCTAATATACAAATTATTAAAGTGTGTAGGGAAGTATACAGCTATGCAAATAGCACACTTGGTTAATCTCATGCTTTTCTTGTTTTTTTTCCTTAAGAGTAGGGGAGGGGCAGAGGGAGAGGGAGAATCTCAAGCAGGCTCCATGCCCAGCATGGGGCTCAATTGCACAACCCTGAGATCATGACCTGAGCTGAAATTGAGTTGGATGCTTAACTGACTGAGCCACCCAGGTGTCCCAATCTCATGCTTTTCTAATTTGGACTTTTGATATGTGTATATCAGTAAGCTAATAAACTGTATTTTTGTTTTCAAACTACAAGGAAAAACCTGTAATTCAAAGTGGGCTCAAGTGCATCGCTGCATTTTAGCCTAAGCATAGGCAGTTCTCAATGGTGCATTTTCAGGTAACACCAGCAGACTTATTCCACCACTAAACCATGATGTAATCTGTCATTTTGTATCTAAATGGGTGGCTCCCCATATTTAGAAAGACAACTGAATGTAGACTACCCAGGAACTGGTAAAAAAAAGTTCATATTTATTAATGCCTTGTTAATGTATACGATATAGATACATGTGAAAAAGACCCTTTGTCCTAAGAAACAACAGCTCCAAATAGGAATAAAAGTTTTAATTATAAAGAACATTACAGTACATATTTGAGAAAGAAACTAGAGAAGGATTTCAAATGATGCTTACCTCCTAATTAATGGTGGAAAGTAAGGATTCCACTCTGAATTCTTTGGAATAAGTTTTTCTCTAATTTGTACCATTAAAAATATTTCACATGTGGACATAAAGTGGAAAAATACACCATGAACTTAGTGTTATAACATCATATTGAGTTGAAATACACAAGCACATAAATGGTAAGATTTCGACAGTATTCCATAGGACTGGTTCTCGACCTTTAACTGACTTCAGAATGAGCTGCAGGGCTTGTAACAACGCAGATTGCTGAGCCCCACACCCAGAGTTTCTGATTCAGTAGGCCTGGGGTGGGACTTGAGAACTGCATTTCTAACAAGTTCCCAGGTGCTGTGGACACTGCTGGCAAGGTCAGCACTCTATTCTGACCAAGCCAAAACAGAGTATCACGTTATATCAGCACCTTCAGAGTATGCTGGAGAGTTTGTGACCTAGAGACATTCACTGAACTCTCTTTAAGTCCTAGTAAGACTGTGGAAAGATTTCTGACCAGTTACTATAATAAAACTCAAGGAATTAAAAGAGTACCTACAATTACAGTATAAGAGCTCCTCCTAGGAGTGGTAGCTGGTTTGTTCTTTTTAAGATGGTGGGACAGATGTATTGGCATACTGGAGTGAGCCTCCCTGGAGTGAGCCTAATAGTCACGGGGTGTCAGTCTGTATGTCATACAGATGGAATGCAGAACACACCATAACCAATTTAAAGGCAGCCGGAGAGAGTTTCTAGCATAATGACAAGCATCAGCAGGTAATTCTTAGATGGCTGCATGGATCATGCCATCTCCAGTAACATCGTCAAATATAAAAATATAGGAAAAATTGGGGTTACCAAAGAAAATACTAAGATTCCTATTACCATCGTAAGGTATTGTGAAATACCTGCAAATACTTTTAGTTGGTGTTCACAGCAAAGAACCTACAAGGACAATTACCAAAAATAAAGTAAAATAAATACATTAAGCTTTTATTAAGTTAGTATAATTCCTATGATGGTTAGTATATCCCAGTCACAAATGATGGTACTTGTTTATGTAAGTTTTTGTATTCAATATATGGAAAACAGGCAATACTGAGTTCTTCTGTTGTACATCGTTTAAGACAACACTTTTCTGAGTATCCTCTGTGTTTTCTTTGGGGATGATTCCCCAAAACACATTGCTTAGGGTTTTAATTTTGTTTGTATTTTTCTTCTGAAATTCTGAAATTTCATGAATATACTGATTGTTATCTTGTGATGAGGAAAATTCTCTTGTCTCATTAGGTGGCAGGTTGGCCCTTGTATATCTATACTCAGGCAGTGACATCTTCAAACTGTTTATCACGTCTTCCTCAGAGGCAGAAGTAGAGACTGAGAAACAAGAAAAAATCCTACTTTATTAAAATTTTCCTTTAGATGAAAATTTAATCATAATACTAGAATACTAAATTCCACTAATTATTTTTTTAAGATTTATTTATTTATTTATTTGAGACAGCACACCAATGTGGGGAGGGGCAGAGGGAGAGGGAGAGAATCTCAAGCAGACTCTGTGCTGAGCGAGGAGCCTGCTGCAGGGCTTGATCTCACAAGTTGGAAGCTCAACCGACTGAGCGACCCAGGGGCCCCTAAAGTTTGCTAATTATTAAAAAACAAGTAATCACATTTTAAATAATAAAATGGGTTTCAAAAGCAATATAAAGATTTTAACAAATAGTTGTAAGTAGTGTTTTCCTATAAAAAAGCTTAGAAATCTTTGCACATTTTTTATGCAAAGACATTTTTTATTGAGATATCATTCACATGTCATAAAATTTAGTATTTTAAAGCATACAATTCAGTGTTTTTTAGTATATTCACGAGGTTATGCAACCATCACCACTATCTAATTCCAGAATATTTGTATATTGAGAAGCCCCATACCCATGCACAGTCATTTCTGTTTCCCTCTTCTTCCAGCCCTGGGCAACCACTGATCTACTTTTCATATCTAAGGATTTGCCCATTTTGAAAATGAAATCATACCACACACATATGGCCATTTAGGTCTGATTTCTTTCACTTATCCATGTTGTAGCATGTATCAGCATTTTATTCCTTTTATGACTGAATAGTTTTCCATTGTATGGATAGATCACATTTTGTTGATCCATTTATCAGTTGATGGACATTTGGGTTTCCACCTTTTGGCTATTATGAATAGTGCTGCTGTGAATATTCACATACAAGTTTTTGTGTGAACATATGTCTGTAATTTTCTTGAGTGTATATCTAGTAGTAGAACCTTAATATCCAGGTAAATTTATTTTATTAAGGTAAATTTGTTTAACTTTCTGAGAAACCACCAAGCTTTTCCACAGTGACTACATCATTTTACAGTCCCACCATTGATATATTAGGATTTGAGTTGCTCCACACCCTCATCAACACTTGCGTTTTCCATTTTTGATTATGGCCATCCCAGTGGATGGGAGGCGATATCCCACTGTGGTTTTGATTTGCATTTACCTACTGACAAATGATGTTGAGCATCTTTTCATGTACTTATTGTATATCCTCTTTGTAGAAATGTCTATTCAAATCATTTGCCCATCTTTTACTTGGGTTACAGTAGTCCCCTCTTAGGTGCAGTTTCTCTTTTTCTGGTCTCAGTTACCTGCAGTCAACTCTGGTCTGGAAGCAGATGATCCCCCTTCTGACAGAGCATCAAAAGGTCAGTAGTAGCCTAATGCTATGTCACAATGCCTACATTATTAACCTCACTTCATCTCAGCACATAGACATTTTATTATTTCATATTACCACAAGAAGGGTGAGGACATATAACGTATTTTGAGAGACAGAGACCACATTCACGTAACTTTTATTACAGTATATTATAATTGTTATATTTTATTACTATTGTTAATATCTTACTGTGCCTTATTTATAATTAAACTTTATTGTAGGTATGCATGTATAGGTAAAAACAGCTTATGTAAGGTTTGGTACTATCCCTGGTTTCAGGTATCCACGGGGGGTCTTGGAGTATATCCCCTGTAGATAAGGGGGGACTACTGTATTCGTCCTTTTATGCACTTTTTATCACCATTTTGTTCATTGTTGAAATATGAACAGATGAAGAATTGGTGATACGCTCAGTGAACTGACTGCTATTATACTGCTCTTAACTCATTCAGTATTACTGGAAAGAAATTAAAATAAATTGAGAAGGTAATTACTTGGAGACTTTTTGGATTTCCGTCATTGCCCTTGCCTATCCACTGTCCCTTCCAGAAGGATACATTTGCCTATAACCACTGCTGTAGAGCCAGCCCTTAGACAGCCCTGCTCTGAACCATAGGACTCCACCCTACAGCCACAGTTGAACACTATACCTGACCCCAAAGAAATCAATCTACTATGGTGGCCAGCAATCCATGCCATGTGAAAACATGAGTTGGCCCAATCAATGTCCTCTCTCTGAAGTTAGAACTAACAAGTAGTGAGAAATGAAACTGAAAGGGTACTATGAAGCTTGTCATGACAAGCTAAAGTCATGAAGAAAAATACTGAAGGAGAAAAGATTCAGAGAGAGAGAAAAAAAGAGAAGGTGGTTTTTAAAGCTGATGTGCTTCCTCAGGCTTTCCAGAGACTTTCCAAGTCCTTTCCTAGATCTTGTTTCTGTTTTTTTTTTTAAGATTTTGTTTATTTATTTGACAGAGAGAGACACAGCCAGAGAGGGAACACAAGCAGGGGGAGTGGGAGAGGGAGAAGCAGGCTTCCCGCGGAGCAGAGAGCCTGATGCGGGGCTCGATCCCAGGATCCTGGGATCATGACCGGAGCCTAAGGCAGACGCTTAACGCTTAACAACTGAGCCACCCAGGCGCCACCTAGATCTTGTTTCTAAGATAACTATCTCCCCCACCATTTTTCCTCAAAGTTATTTAGGTGAATCCCTGTACCTTGTAGTTAGAGTCCTTTTAGAACACTATTTACTAACTTTGTATTTAAAATGCTTAAGCTGAATTGTGGAACATTAAAACTTTAGGATAGACATTAAAGATATTGAATACTAAGTCATCTAAGACAGATAAATATGTGATGAATTAAGATGTGTCATAATTAACAGAGTACACCGAGGGAAAAAGGAAATTAGGTTGTCCAGGCAAATCAAAGAAAGAGCTTCCTGTTGGGATGTGCCATGTTCTGTGACTCAAAGGGTAAAAAAAGACAATAAGAAGGAAACTTTTTCATGAATGAAGGCAGCTAAAGACTAGTTAATGAAACTATATGTCGGGGCGCCTGGGTGGCTCAGTTGTTAAGCGTCTGCCTTCAGTTCGGGTCATGATCCCAGGGTCCTGGGATCGAGTCCCGCATCGGGCTCCCTGCTCGGCGGGGATCCTGCTTCTCCCTCTCGCACTCCCCTTGCTTGTGTTCCCTCTCTCGCTGTGTCTCTCTCTGTCAAATAAATAAAATCTTAAAAAAAAAAAAAAGAAAATATATGTCAAATTGGGGAGGTAATTTATTTTTATTTTTTATTTTTTTGGGGGTGGGGAGGTAATTTAAAGAGAAACAAGCTCTACTCACCAGAAAACAGGAAAGGTTAGACATGACTATTCAGATCTATGAATTTGAAAAAGAACAACAGAGAGGACCCAAATTAAGAAATCAGTGAAATACAGAACCAAAACACTATAAATGTTTAGAAACCCAAAATGTGGTTCTTTAAAAGGATTAATAAAATAGATACAACCCTAGCCAGACTAATCAAGAAAGAAGAGATAAAAATGACGAAAAAAGAACAGATATAACTGAGTATTTAAAATAGATGAATATTATGAATGTTACGTATTTAAAAATCAAAATGAAATGGATGAATCCTTAGAAAAATACAAGATGACTTAATTGACAGAAAATTTAAACAGACATAGATGATTTTATATGTACGTTCTATCTGCTTTTCAAGAACAGTAAGTTCTAATCATATACAAGTTGTTCCAGGAAAAGAGGAAAAGGGCAAAAGCTGCTCAGCATATTTTATGAACCTAGTATATTCTTTATTCCAAAACTAGATAAGAACAATGTGATTTAAAAAAAAACAACAACCATGTGAGCCCATTTACTTATAAATGTTTATTTGGAAGTCCTAATAGTTAACTGAATCCACAAACATATTTTACAAATATACTGAAGTGTTTATTCCAAAAATGCAAAGATAGGCCAAGATCCCCAAATCTATCAGTGCAGTTTACCACATGACTAGATTCCCATACTCACTCTCAATCAGGTTTGCTTTCTACTTTGTAAGAAAATGAAAGCAATCATAAGAGAACTTGCATTTGGTCCCTTCACCATTTTTTTACTCATCTTTTAACATCTGTACCCATACATTCTGCCTTCGTAACTATTTACATAGGTGAACTTCCACTCTAAAGCCAGTTCCTCCATTTAGGGACCAGATCTCATCTCCTCTTGCCTAACTCCAGGGTATCACTCCAGCAATTCCTCTATACCCTTCATCATCAACTCTTCACTCCTAAAAGCAAAAAAAAAAAAAAGTTATTTCTCCCCCTTAAAAAAACCCAAAACCACTTCTCTTGGCCCTGCTTACCTTGCCAGTTACCATCCTGCTTGTTTTCTCCCCTCTGTAGCAAAACTCCTTGATAGTTTTCCATTACTGATTAATTCCTCTTCTCTCATTCTGCCTTAAACCCTCTCTAATCAGGCCTTTGTTCCATCACTGCACCAAAACTTCTCTTTTCAAGTTCATGAATGATCTCTATATTACTAAATTCAACAACCATTTCTCATCTCATCCGACTCATCAAAAACATTCCTTCTTGATACACTTTATTAACTTCGTTTCCAGGACACCACATTCTTCCCACCTGACTATTTATTCCTTTTCTGTCTCCTTTTTGCAAATACTTCCTCCAGCTGTTTGATGTTGATGTCTCCCAGGGCTCAGTCCTTGGCGCTCTTCTCTGTGTACCTTCTCTTGGTGGCCTCATCCAGTCTTATGGCTCTGAGAACCATCTATACACCCACAACTTCTAAATTCCTATCTTCAAGTGAGATTATTTCCATAACCCAGATTCATATATCCTACTTCCTACTCATCATCTCCACTTCAGTGTCTCAAACTCAACATGTTCAAAACTCCATCTGAACTTGTCAAAGTCCACATGCCCCACACTGAACTGCCAATATTGTCTTCAGACCTCTTCCACCTGAGGCCTTTCCTACCTCAGTTGATAGAAACCTATCCTTCCAGATGTTTGAAGCAAAAACTTTGGGATCACATTTAAAAAAAAATACTGGCATCATTTTTGAGTTCTCTTTTTTCTCATATTTCACATAAAATCTGCCCAAATATATCTAGAATAAAA